ATGTTGCATATACAATTTTCCATTATCTTTGCCACATCAATGGGCCAAATCCTGTAAAAGAAAAACAAAAGGAAAAGAGAGGAAACTATAAAAAGTTGTAGGAGAAGTAGATTAGACGCACATTTTTATGATTAAAATGATCACAACTGTCATAGCTGAGGTCATAAATGACTCCATTTGATCAGTTAAAGGTGAAATTCATTAAAGGTACAAAATAAACACATCGAATATCATCAGTTAATGAGAAAAGACTAATAAATGCAAGCTATTCAAGCACATACTGCAAATCGCTGCACAACCACTGTTTGTGTTCACTCAGCTGAAGGCCACATGTGCATGTGATGGCTTGTCTGCTTTACATGTGGCTGCACCTCTTCGCAGGTTGAGGTTTTTCTTTGTACCAAACATCTGTATCTAGGAAGCAATAAAGAGTCTAAATAGAGCATGTGTGTTGTACTCGACTATGTTTTAGCCGCAGTTTCTTTTGGCTCTCACAATGAGCTGCCTTGGTATTGTTCCAGCTTTTGTTGCTCAGCTTTCAGTGATACGCCCAGCTGTGTTCTTGGTTTCCAGGCCCGAGGGTTCAAGTTTTGTGCTTTATTTATGGTAGCATAACTGTATTTATACATGATGAAGGAACAGAGTCAGCCTTGTGCTCACAATCCTATTTTTGTATTCTGAAATCCACTTTTTACTTTAAAATGATTATATATATATACATATATTCACACAATTCTGTTTATCTTCACACGCTTTGGCTCTAACAAAGAGCTGACTTAGTGCCTTAGAGCTTTTAATACTACTGGATACTCAGGTTTAAGCACCACTCCCATCTGTGATGTTAATTTCCAGGAATGGGGTTTAAAAGTGTTTTATTTATAGTAGCGTAGCTTTATTTACAGTGACTGTGGGTCTTTCACATGAAGTCTAATTTGTTTTAGTTTGGAGGACATTCTGAAATCCATTATCAAACTAAGTAAGATGAAACTCTTTTTGTTGTGTTTGTGTGTAATATCAGTACATTTCACAATCTTGGGCAGTTTTGTCATAATCTGTGAGTAATTAGTCCAACATTTTTGGAAACTCTGGACCACTTTAAAACATTACAAAATAGTCTGTTAGTTGACTCAAGACTTTTGCACAGCCCCGCAGAGCTGTTGGCCCTGCGCGTCGAAAGAAGCCAGTTGAGATGTTTCGGGTATTTGGTTAGGATGGCTCCTGGGTGCCTCCCAAGCATGCCCAACTGGGAGGAGACCCTGGGGTAGACCCAGTACCCGCTAGTGAGATGCCCTGAGAAAACCTCAGAATCCCCCAGGATGAAATGTTAGGTGTGGCTGGGAATGTCTGGAATATCATGGATGTGTGGACTGACCTTGAATGTTCTTCATTGTGTGTGTTTTTTTTGTTTTTTTTCCCCCCAGAGTCTTATTCGCAGAACAACACTACGTTTATAGTTGCAGGAGTTTGTGGTGCTTTATTGGTGCTTGTGCTGATTGCTGTGGCGGCCTGCATTGTCATGAGGGTACTTCACAACCGCCATGATTACGAAGGGTAAGTGAGCCATTCAACTTTACGCTGTTCCAGATTACCGATGACCTCAACTACAGTGAAGCTGCAAAATTTTCAAAAGTTTAAAAACTATATTCAGGACCTAAAAGTAGCTTCACTCTCAACGCCAACGTTATGCAGTTATAAGCTGAACGCACATTTAATAAATGTAACACATATGTACACGTGATAAAACAACTATTTGGTGATGCACTCATATATATCCAGACATAGTCGCAGTCAAACTCTTGTTAGTTTACTTATTTTTGTTCTTAGCAGCTTTAAGCTCCATATTTATATTATAGATATAAAAATATAAAGATACATCATGAAGAGCAATAAAGTTTTTGAAGTTGGTAAATACTGAATACTACAATTATATGATTTACACCTTTATATCTGTACTAGTAGTTTCACTATAAGTGTGACACTGTCATTATATTTAAGTATGAAATATTGATCTACTTAGATTTGTTTTCAGTATAATTAATTAATTTCGTTCTCAACGTGACTCAGTTACTGCAGTTACTTTTTTCAGTTTTCTACAGAAAGTAGTTAATAGTGAATTTTGTGTTATTTAGTTACCGTTATAAACCCGGATCCATGCAGGGTCTGCAGCTGTTCATAAATACAGTTTAGACAGTATTAAAGTTTAACATTTCTAAAAGATTTGAGAATATTTTGTCTTGTGTGCCACAGACAGTGGTTTCACCTGTAAAATCCTTTATATCTACAGCTGTATGAGATGTTTTAAATCCATAAAGTATGTGCTTCATCTGCACATCCTGTAAAAATGACCTGTAACAATAATGATAAACAGCAAGGGGTATTTTAATTGATAGCTAGCAATGAGAATATGTTAACGTTAATCTCCCGTGAATACAGAAAAATACCCCCACTGACTGACTGAATTATAATTGGGTTGTTTTCTTTGGTTATTTGTGTCTGTTGATAGTAACTTTACCTGATTTGTTTGATGTTTAATGCTCACTTTATGTGTTCATTATACTGATGTGAAAATTATACTTGATGCTGTTAAAATGAAAGGTAAGTTAAACAGATGATACTGGTTTCCTGAATCAATGTTTTGTTTTCAGTAATATTTCACTTGAGAGGTTGTTTTTTTCCCATTAGACCGGTAACCCTCTGTATAGCTCTAACACTTTACAGTATCTGGTGTTTGGTGGGTACTAATTATTAACACGTTTGTTTATAAAAAAGTGTCCACTCCAGACTTTGCATGCCTGAGGTATTTTTGACCACGTCTACCTCGCATGCCATAGAAACTCTTTCTTCATCTGAGGTATAAACAAAAGAGCCACAAATCTGAGAGATGTCCCTCTTGTCCATCAGGAAGGTGTCAATGAGAGGCCAGGTCTGATATGCTGTCTTTTGAGAATCGGCCCACATTTTTAAAAGGTTTGAACACTAAAGGTTGTAAAGCAGAAGCTGCACTCGCTGAGAGGTCTCTCTTGTCAATGCAGCTACAAATTTCTTGTTGATAGTTTTGTGCTCAACCTTGAATTTGTGGAGCCATGCCAGTGCTAATGCTTTGTGTGGAAACAGTTGTACTTCAGGCACCAGCACTGGCTTCTCACTGAGTAAGAAAAAAAAATCGGGCACCTTCTGCTTGGCTGCTGAGTGGGTTGAGCCTGTGAGCTGAGCTAACAGGGATCTGTGGGGTGGCTGTTTTCACTGGTGCCAGTCATTTTTTTCCCCCTCCATTAAATTGTATTAACACCACTAATTTCACAGCAACACCTTCTACAAGCATGTTGAGCTTGTTGCCATTTAATCTACGCATTGTCGTTTAATGCATTTATACGTAATTAAGTAACCTGGTTACAGTCAATGTCTCCTTTAGGCAGATTTACTCCTTAGAACAGTTTAATGTTTAATGTTAGACAGAATTAATGTAGAGCCATTAACCTGCTATGATACCTACACTAACCTATCCGATCATCCTGACCCTCATTTACATAGAATAAAGAATACTTTTAATTAATTACCGATGTACGTAACATATATTAGCTGAGAAGATAAAACTTTAATTCTTTAATTCACTTTTTTGACTATTTTATTTTTATAGGCAGCACAGTGGTTAGAACTGTTGCCGCACAGCAAGAAGGTCCTGAGTTCAATTCCAACATCAGGCCGGGGTCTCTCTGTGTGGAGTTTGCATGTTCTCCCCGTGTTTGTGTGGGTTCCCTCCGGGTACTCCGGCTTCCTCCCACCGTCCAAAGACATGCAGCTTGTGGGGATAGGTTAATTGGATAATCCAAATTGCCA